GCGGCGAGCGTTCTCATGGCATCTATTATCAACGCTATGGGAGGTCTATAAGGTCTATGGGACGCCCTGCCCGTTGAAAACTGACTCTCAAGGGGCACCCTGTCCGTAATAGAGTGACGGGGAGGGGCCCTGACCGACCGTCAACATGTGACGTGTTGGGAGTGAGAACGTGTTGTATATAAATGTAGAACTTGACAGTGTGAGTTATAATAAGACTGAAATGTGAGTTTATTTGACTAGGAGGTAAATAAGGTTTCCTTGCTCTAATAATGTCAGATTCGTATTTGTTTCAACTCTGAGTTTAAAGTTAAATCAACTTAACCCTCCTGTTGTCTTCGGGTCAAATCTGACCGATTTACTACTTACATCAATCATAACTTTTTTGTTTTACATTCGATTGCATTAAGGCTTTATGATCTCCTTCACAGTAGACATTTGAACATATAACATTGCTGATCACCACTTTCATTGAATTTTGGATGATTTAGTCAACTTTGTAACACCCATGGTGTTCCCCACACACACACACACACACACACACACACACACACACACACACACACACACACACACACACACACACACACACACACACACACACACACACACACACACACAGAACAATTTGACACATTTCCCGCTCTTATGTGCCCATCCCCCCACATGGATCACACCTGGTACACGCAATACATGTTCAGTGTCTGTTCTTTGTATATTTACTGCAGTTTTTCATGGATACCAGTAGTCTGATACAATATTTACAGTTTGAAAGGGTGTTCAATGACATTTGGTGATGATTAATGGTTTTTGTTTTAATGTAACAGCAGTTAAAACAGGACCGGTCAAATTTGACCGCGAACACCAAAGTAAGGGGGGGAAACTAAGACAACAGGGGGGTTAAACAACTTAGTTCCTGAGCGGCCTGGGTTGGTGTGTCTGTGGTTTCAAACTGCACCGACTGCATTGACTTTTCTAAATAAAACTAACTTGTGATGTGTTTTAAAGATCTTCATCTTCAATGGAAACCAATGGGCTTGGAGCTGACAGGAAGTCAGGAAACATGAGGCACTCACACATTGCTGGTGACTTTCAGAGTGAAAGCTATATTTTCTAACGTTGGTTAAAAGCTCTAAGAGCTGATAAACCCATGTGTGTGAGAGGAGCTCCTTGGAGCTGCTACTCTGCTCCCTGAGCTCCTTCCTCTTCAGCAGGAACACACAGGTAATCCAGCTCTATGTCCTCCTGTCGGCTCGGCCTCCGCCCCCTGGTGGCCTGGAGAGACATGACAGCACACAGAGAGACTTCCTGCATCACTCCTGTTCAATAACACACACTGTTTCATTCAGTCAGTGGTGGAACAACAACATGTTTCAGTCTCTCATCATTCAGTCAGTGGAACAACAACATGTTTCAGTCCCTCATCATTCAGTCAGTGGTGGAACAACAACATGTTTCAGTACCTCATCATTCAGTCAGTGGAACAACAACATGTTTCAGTACCTCATCATTCAGTCAGTGGAACAACAACATGTTTCAGTACCTTATCATTCAGTCAGTGGTGGAACAACAACATGTTTCAGTACCTTATCATTCAGTCAGTGGTGGAACAACAACATGTTTCAGTACCTCATCATTCAGTCAGTGGAACAACAACATGTTTCAGTACCTCATCATTCAGTCAGTGGAACAACAACATGTTTCAGTCCCTCATCATTCAGTCAGTGGAACAACAACATGTTTCAGTACCTCATCATTCAGTCAGTGGAACAACAACATGTTTCAGTACCTCATCATTCAGTCAGTGGAACAACAACATGTTTCAGTACCTTATCATTCAGTCAGTGGTGGAACAACACATGTTTCAGTACCCTCATCATTCAGTCAGTGGAACAACAACATGTTTCAGTACCTTATCATTCAGTCAGTGGAACAACAACATGTTTCCGTACCTCATCATTCAGTCAGTGGAACAACAACATGTTTCAGTCTCTTATCATTCAGTCAGTGGTGGAACAACAACATGTTTCAGTACCTCATCATTCAGTCAGTGGAACAACAACATGTTTCAGTACCTCATCATTCAGTCAGTGGTGGAACAACAACATGTTTCAGTACCTCATCATTCAGTCAGTGGAACAACAACATGTTTCAGTACCTTATCATTCAGTCAGTGGAACAACAACATGTTTCCGTACCTCATCATTCAGTCAGTGGAACAACAACATGTTTCAGTCTCTTATCATTCAGTCAGTGGTGGAACAACAACATGTTTCAGTACCTCATCATTCAGTCAGTGGAACAACAACATGTTTCAGTACCTTATCATTCAGTCAGTGGAACAACAACATGTTTCCGTACCTCATCATTCAGTCAGTGGAACAACAACATGTTTCAGTACCTCATCATTCAGTCAGTGGAACAACAACATGTTTCAGTACCTTATCATTCAGTCAGTGGTGGAACAACAACATGTTTCAGTACCTCATCATTCAGTCAGTGGAACAACAACATGTTTCAGTACCTCATCATTCAGTCAGTGGAACAACAACATGTTTCAGTACCTCATCATTCAGTCAGTGGAACAACAACATGTTTCAGTCCCTCATCATTCAGTCAGTGGAACAACAACATGTTTCAGTACCTCATCATTCAGTCAGTGGAACAACAACATGTTTCAGTACCTTATCATTCAGTCAGTGGTGGAACAACAACATGTTTCAGTACCTCATCATTCAGTCAGTGGAACAACAACATGTTTCAGTACCTTATCATTCAGTCAGTGGAACAACAACATGTTTCCGTACCTCATCATTCAGTCAGTGGAACAACAACATGTTTCAGTCTCTTATCATTCAGTCAGTGGTGGAACAACAACATGTTTCAGTACCTCATCATTCAGTCAGTGGAACAACAACATGTTTCAGTACCTCATCATTCAGTCAGTGGTGGAACAACAACATGTTTCAGTACCTCATCATTCAGTCAGTGGAACAACAACATGTTTCAGTACCTTATCATTCAGTCAGTGGAACAACAACATGTTTCCGTACCTCATCATTCAGTCAGTGGAACAACAACATGTTTCAGTCTCTTATCATTCAGTCAGTGGTGGAACAACAACATGTTTCAGTACCTCATCATTCAGTCAGTGGAACAACACATGTTTCAGTACCTCATCATTCAGTCAGTGGTGGAACAACAACATGTTTCAGTACCTCATCATTCAGTCAGTGGAACAACAACATGTTTCAGTACCTTATCATTCAGTCATTGGAACAACAACATGTTTCCGTACCTCATCATTCAGTCAGTGGAACAACAACATGTTTCAGTCTCTTATCATTCAGTCAGTGGTGGAACAACAACATGTTTCAGTACCTCATCATTCATCAGTGGAAACAACAACATGTTTCAGTCTCTTATCATTCAGTCAGTGGTGGAACAACAACATGTTTCAGTCCCTCATCATTCAGTCAGTGGAACAACAACATGTTTCAGTACCTCATCATTCAGTCAGTGGAACAACAACATGTTTCAGTCCCTCATCATTCAGTCAGTGGAACAACAACATGTTTCAGTCTCTTATCATTCAGTCAGTGGAACAACAACATGTTTCAGTACCTTATCATTCAGTCAGTGGTGGAACAACAACATGTTTCAGTACCTTATCATTCAGTCAGTGGTGGAACAACAACATGTTTCAGTAACTCATCATTCAGTCAGTGGTGGAACAACAACATGTTTCAGTACCTTATCATTCAGTCAGTGGTGGAACAACAACATGTCTCAGTCACTCATCATTCAGTCAGTGGAACAACAACATGTTTCAGTACCTTATCATTCAGTCAGTGGTGGAACAACAACATGTTTCAGTCTCTTATCATTCAGTCAGTGGAACAACAACATGTTTCAGTACCTTATCATTCAGTCAGTGGATCAACAACATGTTTCAGTACCTTATCATTCAGTCAGTGGATCAACAACATGTTTCAGTACCTCATCATTCAATCAGTGGAACAACAACATGTTTCAGTACCTCATCATTCAGTCAGTGGTGGAACAACAACATGTTTCAGTACCTCATCATTCAGTCAGTGGTGGAACAACAACATGTTTCAGTACCTTATCATTCAGTCAGTGGAACAACAACATGTTTCAGTACCTCATCATTCAGTCAGTGGAACAACAACATGTTTCAGTACCTCATCATTCAGTCAGTGGTGGAACAACAACATGTTTCCGTACCTTATCATTCAGTCAGTGGAACAACATGTTTCAGTACCTCATCATTCAGTCAGTGGAACAACAACATGTTTCAGTACCTCATCATTCAGTCAGTGGAACAACAACATGTTTCAGTACCTCATCATTCAGTCAGTGGTGGAACAACAACATGTTTCCGTACCTTATCATTCAGTCAGTGGAACAACAACATGTTTCAGTACCTTATCATGTCAGTGGAACAACAACAACATGTTTGCGTACCTTACAGTAGAAGTAAAGGCCGATGGTCACCAGCAGCTGAGTCAGCGGCAGGACGATGGCTCGGATGATATAAGGTTCTGGATCTGATCGAACACATGGACAGAATCACATCCAGAGTCAGCAAACACACAGAGACCTCTGAACCCACTTCAGCATGGAGACTCCTCTCTACAGTTATATTACAATAAACTACATCTTCTTAAGATCTTCATTCAACCCCAACCCTTTTTCCTGTTCATACCAGACAGTAGGACTGTAGGGAGAAGCTGCTAGCTGTATCTGTTAAACACTCAGTACTCATGGCAATACTCCAATGTAAACTACAGCTGACTGGAGAATGTGTGTTCTGGATTCATGTGTTCACGGTTCATTGCACTTATTGTACGTTGCTCTGGAAAGCTACATGTGATGTAAGGGTGTGACTGCTTCAGGGCTCACAGTAAAACACTCAGTCCTCACCAGCGTTCTCCTGGGGAGCATCACGCTCTGTCCTACAGTAAACTCTAACAGCTCACCTGTGACGGTGACGGAGAGCAGACGGCTCTCAGAGGAGAAGTCCTGAGAAAAAGCAGAGACGTGATAAACACAGCTGTAGTTTCCCTGGTGGGCGGGCGCTGCAGCCGGGAACAGGAAGTGGGAAGAGTGATTGACAGCTGGCTGGGTGTAGTTGTTTGCTGAGTTGATGGAGGTGAAGCTGAGCAGGAAGGAGCCTCCTGGGTACTGAGGCTGGATGGAGCAACTGATGCTGAAGGTGGAGCTTCTGAACACCTGGAACCCCTGCTGCTGGGGCCCGGAGACCCCGTACATGGAGGAGGACACAGAAGAGGTTTCTCAATTCTTAAATTTCCCCTCCTCGACTCCTATCCTCGAGACTTAGTCCCGCCCACAGCAGATGCGAGCGGAGGACTGAGGAGGGGAACCTGTTATAGCCTGTTATACTGAGTGATATATATTATACACACTGCTCTGCTTTCTGCACGGACCTCACAGCTGTTCTCACTGGAAACATCGCGTCACGATGAAAGCAGTTACTAAAATAATATCCAGGGGATGCATGCAGAGCTGTCATTGGCTGAGATCAGTTCGGCCGTGCGTAACGCCTCCACCGTTCCCGAAAATGCATCCGCGGAGGAGCTGTGGAGGACCCATCAGTGTATCCTCGGTTATAGCTCCTCCAGAGAGCCTCCTCGACGCTCGATGCTCGGTCCTCGATGTGCATTTAGAGAAATGAGATGTCCTTCAACATGGCGCGCTGAAATTCATTTCCGGGTCACTACCGGAGGACCGAGGAGTCGAGGAGTCGAGGAGGGGAAATTTAAGAATTGAGAAGCCTCTAGAGATGTTGGGCAGAAACAGCTTATCTAAATCTATATCTAAAAACACTCATTTAAAAGCAATGATATAAAATGGCATTTAAAAACAGTCATTTAAAAGCAAAGATACATGAATTACTGTTACAGTGCAGTGTGAGATATACACATCTGAACGAACCCCCCTTTGGAAAATTATAATCTGACCCCATGGTACCTTTTAGTTTTTGCCGAAACTATTCCTCTTTTTTATTTTTAAATGCACATAGTTAAGTTTAAGTAGTCTTTTCTAGGACTTTTTGGGTGTCCTCCGCGAACCAAGGTCTTGAAACCAAAACGCCAAATGTAGGGGACTTTAACCACCTACTGTACTTAAACCCCAATAATGACTTTAACTACCTTTTGGGGGACAAGGCAATTCAAAGTGCTTTACAAAAAGGAAAGACATTAAGAAAATGGCATTAAAAAGCAAAGATAATAAAAGTTACAGTGCAGTTTAAGATATGAATATATCAATTAAAAGCAGCGGCAAAAAGAAAAGTGTTCAGCCTGGATTTAAAAGTAGTAAGAGTTGCAGCGGACCTGCAGGTTTCTGGTAGTTTGTTCCAGATATTTGGAGCATAACAACTGAACGCTGCTTCTCCATGTTTAGTTCTGACTCTGGGGACAGAAAGCTGACCAGTCCCTGAAGACCTGAGAGTTCTGGATGGTTCATAATTTAGCAGTAGGTCAGACATGTATTTTGGGCCTAAACTATTCAAAGCTTTATAAACCAGCAACAATATTTTGAAATCTATTCTTTGACACACAGGAAGCCAGTGTAAGGACTTCAGAACAGGAGTGATGTGATCCACTTTCTTAGTGTTAGTGAGGACTCGAGCAGCGGCGTTCTGAATTAGCTGCAGCTTTCTAATAGATTTTTTAGTGAGACCTGTGAAGACACCATTACAGTAGTCGAGTCTACTGAAGATAAAAGCATGGACAAGTTTTTCCAAGTCCTGCTGTGACATTAGTCTTTTAATCCTAGATATGTTCTTTAGGTGATAGTAGGCTGATTTAGTAACTGTTTTAATGTGACTGTTGAAACTCAGGTCCATGACTACACCTAGATTTCTGGCTTTATCTGTTGTTTTGAACATTGCAGACTGAAGCTCAGCGCTAACTTTTATTCGTTCTGCCTTGGCTCCAAAAACCATTACCTCAGTTTTATCTTTGTTTAGTTGGAGAAAGTTCTGACACATCCAGTCATTGATTTGTTCAATGCACTTACTCAGTGTTTGAATTGGAGCATAATCTCCTGGTGAAATTGTTAACGGAAATGTGTGTGTCATCCGCATAGCTATGGTAACTTCTTTTGTTGTTTTTCATTATCTGAGCCAGTGGTAGCATGTAGATGTTAAAGAGAAGAGGCCCCAAGATGGAGCCTTGAGGTACCCCACATGTCATATTTGTCAACTCAGATGTGTATTTACCTATAGAAACAAAGTTGTGTCTGTCCTTTAATTCAAACCAATTTAGAACTGTTTCCGAAAGTCCCACCCAGTGTTCCAGTCGGTCTAGTAATATGTTGTGGTCAACAGTGTCAAACGCAGCACTGAGATCTAATAATACTAACACTGAAGTTCTGCCAATGTCTGTGTTTAAGTGGATGTCATTGAAGACCTTAACAAGAGCAGTCTCAGTGCTGTGGTTTGGACGAAAGCCTGACTGGAACACATCCAAACAGTTGAGTCAAATCAAATGTTCCCATTGATGTCTAACTCTTCTAAAATGTGTCATTGAAACTGTGGTAAAGGTTTGTGTGCATGTAGTCTTTATGAGATCAGATATTGTTGTAACCTTTAAGATGTGATGTCTTTCAAATGAAATGCATGAATATCTGTGCAGAGAGAGGACTCAGTTTACTGTTGACGGGGGTGAGTGTGTAGTTGAAGAACTGACCCTGGGTCAGCAGAGTTCCTGCAGTGGACATGCTTTAGATGTCCTGCTGATGTGGAGACGCCTCGTACAGGAAAGAGTTTTCATGTTCTCCTTTATAACGCTAATGTAACTCACTGCAGGCTGCTCGCTCTTTAGGAAATGTGTTCTTGTGGAAATGACTTCACTGTTTAACAGCTGTGTTCTCTCGTTAAAAAACAAAAATATGCATTTCCTTACATTTGGTAAATATGGAAATGGAAGAAAAGGTAATTGGCTATGATACAGAAGTGCTGCCACATCACTTTAGAACAAATAAATAGGAGCGGATAAAGGACTTACTAGTTTGTTTTTATAGATCTGTTTTGCCAGATAATGTCTTTATTGGAGACACATCGTTGAAGGGGGGAGATAGAGGGTATAGGAGCCAAAACATTGATTTACTATTTTGATTATTTAATCGTTTAATTATGCATAAAATATTGAATGTTGGTTATGGAATGGAAAAGGTTGTTAATTAATGTAAATTAATTGTGATCCTCACATGCGGTTAAAGGAAACAGCTGATTAACGCTGTGATTGCCTCAGCTGGTACAAAAGATACTCTGGGTTCATTTTGGTTGTGAAGCCATACGGTTTTTAGACCGCTGCACTTCAGAGAAATTATAAGTTGAAGTTGTTTTATTTGATGTGACGTAACTGTCTCCATCATCGTCTGGTAAGACACTTTTATTTGTGTTAAAAGAAGAGAACAGTGAAGAACAGACATGTAAAGGATAATGTGGAAATAAATGTACTGAAACAAACAATATCTCTCTGTGTGATGTGTGAGCGCGTCGGCCAGGCGCAAAACCAAAGGACATGAAGGAGCAAAAGCTAAGTGGGAGAGATTGCTCTTTTAGAGGGGATGGCATCGCCTGAAATGTTCCTCTTGGGAATTGAACAAGCGTCTTTGGCAGCAATTCAGCGTATGGGCAGCCAGCTCTAAACACTGAGCTATCCAGCAGTGAGTCTGTCCTAGTGTCCTACTCTGTCAGTGGAGTACATCAAGAACTTGGGATCTAGTTCAACTGAAATGCATTGAGTCTCAAGAGATATTACAGTTCTGAGGTTTAAGTGCTGCTGGGATTTGAACCCAGGAACTTCTGTTTAATAGAGAGGTGCTTTGACCAGCTAAGCCACAGCGCCTTTTACAAGTTCTGCTCACATCAGGTTAGGTGTAAGTAAAACTGTTTCAGAGACAATCACACTATTAGAAGCCGTTCATGATTCAGGTCTGTGCTTTTTACTAAGAATACAGCTACTGTCAAAAGGTAAAGGCTATTGAATTTCCTTCACTAAAAAGCATCCCTTTGAATGGTCACTTTGTTGCAGTGATGTACAGGAGTACCTGAAGTAGGTACTTCAACTGAAATGCATTGAGTCTCTCCTGTTTACTAGACAGCCGCTTTGACCAGCTAAGCCACAGTGCCTCCTGTGTTCTTGCTGTCATGAATTCACACTTAAATATAACAGCAAGATGCCAAAATATGCTTAATACAGGTCTTTTAAAGAGTCCTATAAGAGAGAGCTGTTTGGTGCTCTGGGATTTGAAGTCAGGATCTCCTGTTTACGAGACAGGCTCTTTAACCACTAAGCAACAGCGCCCGCTTCTTCCACTTTTTAGATTTTCCAATCACCTGTAAAGTGCTCTTTCAAAAAAAACTTTTGCAAACAGTTTTCAACGACGGCTTCTTAGTTTGATGAATAGATTAAGGTAATTTTCCTGTGAAAATGTACTTATTATTATATATGTAGTATTATTATTTTAGATTAGGTATTACTACTTTTACTAAACTGAAATATCTTCTTCCACCACTGAGTAATTATTTCTAGTTACCATTCCACCTCTGGCCAGGATAAGTAAAACATTAGAATCACAATGTGAACGCACACACACAGACGTCACCTCTCAGCAGGGAGTCGATGGGGGGGGTCGGTCGTACGCCAGCCCACAGAGATGGAGAGCGGCCATGTTTGTCTTGGCATCCTGGCGTGGAACGAATGGAGAGTAAGAACCTCCTGTGCTGCCAGGCGGAGGGTTGAATATCAGTGTAAATGTGCAACAGCATATCACCTGATCCTCTGCTGTCTCCAGAGAGCAGACCTGAGGTCAGGCAGTGTGTGAGGATCAACTCATCGTTTGGTTTAAGCTGCTCCAAACCCTGGATCAGTGTAATTCACCTCACTGAGGATCAGCTGTCTGAAAGAAAAACCCTCAAATTTAAATATTTTCAACTTTATATCACTTCTATAACGCCCTCTGTCAAAAATATGAATCTGCTAAATACAAATTATTTAGGTAATAATCCATTTGAGTCCTATCAACAATCCAAAAACTGATTTATATTACCTAACAGAGAAATCAAACCTACATGTCGTCCCTCCTCTTCCTCAGATATGTGTTAAAACGTGCTTTTTTTACCCCTTCAATAATCATATCCATATCATTGGGTTGATAACAAACCTTTTTCATGTTGAGGAGATTCATCAGATGTGTTTCAGACCGCAATATCATGAAATTATTTTTTAGTTTTAGAT